TTTCTTTCTTTCTTTCTTTCTTTCTTTCTTTCTTTCTTTCTTTCTTTCTTTCTTTCTTTCTTTCTTTCTTCTTTCTTGAGACAGAGTCTCCCTGTAGCCTCAGCTTACCTGGAACTCACTATGTAAACTAGGCTGGCCTCAAACTCACAAGATTCACCCACCTCTGCCTCCCAAGTGCTGGGATTAAAGGCATGTGTCACCAGGCCTGGCCTTTAGAAGGGCCATCTTGAGCTCAGGAGCAACCCTGGGCTCAGCATATCTGCTTGGATCTGCTGCAGCAGTGGCAGCATTAATTAAGATAGCTTTGGAGCTGGGCATGGTGACACGTGAGTTTAATTCCAGCACTAGGGAGGCAGAGGTGGGTGGATCTCTGTGAGGCCAAGTTGATCTACACAGCAAGTTCTAGGATAGTTCTACATAGTAAGACTTTAAGAAAAAAAAGTTCTCTGTTGGATTTTAGCTGCAATCTGCCATTTGTCTAGAACAGTCAAATAATGGTGGATGAATTCAAACCAAAAGGCCTGCTTCCCCACCCTGCCTCCCCTCTGCTGAGCCCCAGCTTGGCTGGACCCTCACTGGGAAAGGGAGGTCTCAATGATGTGGGGCCATGTGCCTAGTGTGGTAAAGAGAGTCCCTCCCCTTCCAAACACCACCATGGGCAGGGCTTCTAGGGAACACTGAGATCTTTACATGGTTATTTAAAACTCACTAATATGTGAGATTAAGAGGCCAAATCGGATTATAGGCTTTGAGCACAAGCCTCAAGGGCAGCATCCCAGTGCCCAAGGGGCTGGAGAGCAACAGAGCCTGTGGCATAGTGATGAGGACAGAAGGAGTGACCAGGCTAGACTCTTCCCCACCAAGTGCTCCAGAGGAAACAGCAGTCCCTCTCAGCTGGGAGGTGCCCCAGCACTTTACACACAACACTGAAACATCTTGTTTCCTCTCCTGCTAAGGAAGCCATTTTGAGTCAAGACATATCTTCAGAAAGTCACACACAACAGGGAAGGACCCCCGCCCCCCCGTGCGCAGCCATCTAAGCCAGGTCACTCTAATGCCATCTCTTCGCTTTTTGTCATGGGTAAGCATCACATTAATATCCAGAACTTCTTTTCGTTTCCACTGAAAGTCAGGAGCTAGGTGTGGTGCTGGACATGCAGAATTCAGTCCTTGGGAAGTGGAGGCAGGAGGAACAGATGTTCAAGATCATCCTCAGCTATATAACGAGTTCCAGGGAAGCCTGGGATATGCAATATGTGACCCACCCCTCCACCCCCAAAATAAAACTCATCACAGAACCAGTAGAGTCAAAAAACTCTTGTCCCTACTCTACCTAGCCTCCTCACGACTCCCCCAACCCCCGCATCTTAACCTAGGGCCTTTGCGCTGCTAGGACTCTCCCTAGAATTTGCTTGATTCCCACCTTCCCCCACATGCTCCCTGCTTCTCTGGTTTCAATTTGTTTGAAAACTGGCTCTGTCCCCATCTCTGCCTTTTGTAGCTCCTGCTCTCTACCCAGACCAATTTTCATCTTTAAAATTTTTAATTTCTCTTAGTTGGGCATGGTGGCACACACCTGTAGTCCCAGTACTTGGGAGGCAGAAGCAGGTGGATCTCTGTGAGTTCAAGGCCAGCCTAGTCTACATAGGGAGTTCCAGGCCAGCTGGGGCTACAGGGAGACCCTGTCTCAAAAAAATTTTTTTTTCAATTTCTCATCTTCTGATGCTGGTATTAAGTAACCCTTACCACTCTGCCTATTGTCTATCTTCCCCCTGCTGGAGGTGAGCTGCACGGAGACCTGGATTTAGCTTATTTATTGCTGTGTCCCCAGCTCCTAAGACAGTGCCCTAAAATGTAGTAGGTGCTGAATAAATATTGGTTTTATGAGTAAGTATATATATGAGCTTTATGGACTACTTATGAATTGTATAATATATTAATTTAACTGTGCACTTATATCGAAGTGCATAACCAGATGTGGTAAAAGCTTGTAATTTCAGCACTTAGGTGGCTGAAGCAGGAGGATCACCATGAGTTTGAGTCCAGCCACAACTGTCCAGCAAGACTCTGTCTCAAAACAAACCAAAATCAACCAGCCAACAAACATCCACATGGTGTCTTTGTAATACCCAACATCCCTCTCTCATACATTGGTATATAGTTACTCTGTGGGCCATACTATCTTGATCCATTGGCACTAGCACAGAGCAGTTTAGCAGCCTGTCCAGGAGATGGGACAAAACACTGGCAACTTTCAAAGCAGAGAGAAATTTGAGATATTTAAAAGACAGTCGGAGAATAGGGTCTCATGTAGCCCAAGCTGGCCTCAAACTTGCTTCTGTGGCTGAAGATAACATTGAACTTTTGATCCTCCAGCCTCCTTGTGCCACCACACCCAGTCTGTACAATGCTGGGGAATCAAACACAGGGCTTTGAGTAGGCAAGCACTCTGTCATCTCAGCTACATTCCTAGCCCTGCTGTTTTTATTTTTTAACTTATTTAATTTTATGTTATGTATATGAGTGTTTTGCCTGCGTGTATGTAAGTGTACCACATGCATGCAATGCCCAATGAGGCCAGAAGAGGGCATCAGATCCCCTGTAATTAGAATTATGGACCATTGTTAGCCACCATGTGGGTGCTGGGAACTGAACCCAGGTCCTCTGCAAGAGCAGTCAGTGCTCTTAACCTCTGAGCTGTCTCTCTAGCACCCCCTAGCCCATTTTTGTTTTGAGGCACTCTCACTATGTAGCCCTGGTTGGCCTTGAGCTGTTTGTGACCCTCCTACCTCTGCCTCCTGGGTGCTGGGATTACAGATGTGTACCACCATAGCTGGCTATCCAAGGACCCAATTTTGTAAATAAAGTTTTATTAGAATATATTCATTTATTTAAGAATCACAGGGCAGGGGATGAAGTTCAATGGCAGAATGCTTGCTTAGCATGCCCAAGATCCTGGGTTTGGGGAATGTAGCTCAGTTGGTAGAGTGCTTGCCTAGCATGCATGAGGCCCTGGGTTCAATTCCCAGCACTACATAAACTGGGTGTGGTGGTGTATGCTTGTAATCATAGGACTTGGGAGATGGAGGCAGGAGGATTAGAATTTCAAAGCCATCCTGGCTGCCTAAGGAGTTCAAGACTGGCCTATGTTAGAGATCTTGTCTCAAAAAAGGCCCTGGGGTTCCATCCCCAGAACCAGCACTAAAAAAATAATTTGTAAAAGAATTGTCATGACATCACCTGTTTGACTACAGGGCTGAAATATTGATTTATATGACTTTTTCCAAAAAACAGTTTGCCAATTGGAGTGAGATGATTGGGTCTCAGAGCGCCACAGCAGGTGCACAGCAGCCGGCAGGCCGGGTGGCCAAAGGAGAAGCCTGCGCTCTTGTTCTGCTTCCCGTCAGTCTCTCTAAGATGTGACCAAGTCTGACCATCACCCTGTGCTCAGTGATCTGTGTCATCCTCCCGGCCCCCATCTCAGCGCTGGTGTAGGATTTAGATCTTTCCAGGCAAGGCTTTGTTGTTCAGCTAGCTGTGTGGTCATTCAAAATGGGGACAGAAATCAACTCCCCACCCCAGGGTCAACTGAACAGAGCAAACTAAGTCCTCAGCACAGGAAGTCCACAGAAAGTACCAGAATAAGAGTACGGTAAAGTGCTTGCCATGCAAGTGTGAGGTCCTGACGTCCATCCCAGCATCCATGTACAAAGCTGGGTGCTGTCCCTGCGGGGAACAATAGGTGGATCCCTGGGCTTCATTGCTCAGTCAGCCTAGCTGAATCAATGAGTTCCAGGTTCAGTGAGGGACCTGGTCTCAAAAGATGAGGTGAAGAGAGGCTAGAGAGATGACTGGGACTGGAGAAATGGCTCAGTGGTTAAGAGAGGACTCGGGTTCAATTCCCAGCACCCACATGGCAGCTGACAACAGTCCGTAACTCCAGATCCAGGGGATCCAACACCCTCTTCTGTCCTCTGTGGACATTGTGTACATAAGGGTTCACTCATATGCATGCAGGCAAAACACTCATACACAGAAGATTAAATATTAAAAATATAAAAAAATAAGGTAGAGAGTGATTGAGAAAGGCACCTGACAACAACCTTTGACCTTCACACTCATGCACACATGTGCATCCTCATGCACGTGTACACGCATATACACTAACACATAGATACAATACACGCACGCGCACACACACACACACACACACGCTTGCTGTGTCATTAACACTGAAGGGAATTTGTGGCACTAACTCATTTGATTTTTTTTTAAACAAGATGTGTCTATGGTCTAGAACTCACTGTATAGCCCAGTCTGATTTTGAACACGAAACAGTCCTCCTGCCTCAGCTTCCTGAGTGTCAGAATTGCAAGTGTGCACTCCCATGTCACAGTGTTGAAAGTACATGTTTTGTTCCCATCTCAGAGCTGAGGCCCTGTGACTTGTCCAAGGTCATGAGGCAATGGAAGAGCCAAAAATTCCAAAGTCACCTCATAGGAGAGGCGTGACCTTGGGCAAGTCACAGGGCTTTGATATTTTGGGGGAGTTCTATAATGTTCTGTGTAGATATGTTATTGCTGCTTATACATTGTTATGGAATCTTTTCTGGACACAGTGATTTTGTAGTAATAACAGGTATTATTGGGGCTGGAGAGATGGCTTAGTATACTGCTCAGTGTATAGGGTGTGTACTGTTCTTGCAGAGGACCCAAGTTTGGCTCCCAGCACCCATATCAGAGAGCTCACACTTACCTATAACTGCTACTGCAGGAGATCTGATGCCTCTGTACCTACACTCATGTGTACATACACAACAGACACATACATAGACATGTAACTTTTATTTTAAAATTTTATTTATTAATTTTTATTTTATGTGTATGAGTGTTTTGCCTGCATGTATCTAAGTATGTATCTGCATGCATGCAATGCCCTGCAGAGGCCAGAAGAGGGTGTCGGATTCCCTGGAACTGGAGTTCCAGATAGTTGTTAGCTGCTCTGTGGACGCTGGGAATTGAACCCAGGTCCTCTGGAAGAACAACCAGTGTTCTTAACCACTGAGCCATCTCTCCAGCCCTGACACAAATTGTAAATAAATAACTCTTCTTTTTTTTTTTTTTTTCGGTCTTTTTGAGACAGGGTCTCCCTGCAGCCCCAGCTAGCCTGGAACTCACTATGTAGACCAGGCTGGCCTTGAACTCACAGAGATCCGCCTGCCTCTGCTCCCAAGTGCTGGGACTACAGGAGTGTGCCACCACGCCTGGCTCTTCTAAAAAGATTATATATATATGTGTGTTTTGTCTACATGTATGTATGTGCACCATGTAGGTGCCTGGTGCCTATGGAGGCCAGACAGTAGTGAGTCACTATGTGGGTGCTGGGAATTGAACCTGGGTCTTCTGCAAGAGTAGTTACTGCTCTTAACCGCTGAGCCATTTCTCCAGCCCCTGTAATAAATAAATCTAAAAGAAAAGAACAGCTAACGTTGACTCAGTGCATATTATGTGATGGCTGTGCAGTGTGCTTTATCTCCATGAACTTATTTAGTTGATAATCCCACGGAAGTGGGTACTATGGCAACTATTATAGATAAGAAGCCAAGGACTGCATGAAGAGACACACCAAGTGGGTTGTCTCACATCCTACACCCCAGAGAGCATGGAGCCAGGAGCCTGCATCCCAGCACTTCACTTCTGTGGGGGCAGGGGTGGCCATCACACTGAACCCTGAGCCCTTCCTTAATCCTGTCTCAGCACATATCAGTTTGAAGCCAAAGGGAAAGAGTGAGAAAGGAATTGTTTGCCCCAGTATCTGTCTCCTGCCCCTACCTGCGGGGCTGGCAACTTCCAAGGCATCACCCAAACCTAGCCTCCCCCTCTGGGCTGTGTTCTTCCTCTCCCACCTGCTCAGGTATCTCTCACCACCCTTATATGAAGGGCCCATGTTTGAGAATCACAAGGAACCATTCCCTTCCCAGTGGGGGTGGCCCTAACGGATTTGATCATCAGCTTCTATAGAAGAGGTGGGTTATGTGGGGGTAACCAGGAGGACAGATAAGGGGTGATACTAAGGGGATGGGCTCAGCAGAGATAGAGCTAACCTCTCATGCCTGCTCTACCAGCAGACCCCTCACTTCCCAGGGGGACTCCTGGCTCTAGGGGCCTGGGCAGGGAATTGAACTGGGAGAAGTCCTTAAGGGGTGAGGCCTAGTGTTTGCCCCTTTCCCTTCACCCAGGATGGCTATATTGACTTCATGGAGTATGTGGCCGCACTCAGCCTCGTACTCAAGGGCAAAGTGGAACAGAAGCTGCGCTGGTATTTCAAGCTCTACGACGTCGACGGCAACGGGTGCATAGACAGGGATGAACTGCTTACCATCATCCGGGTAACTCCAGGTGCAGAGGGCTGGGCCAGGAGCATGGGCAGCGGCTGCGGGTGGGTCCCAGACCTGAGAGTCTTAGGGTAGGAATCACAGTCTCAGGATTGGACTAGGATTTGGGACTGAGGATGTGGGATGACAACTCTAACTTACCAATTGCAGGCTCTGGGCCATGCCTCCAACTCCTTGGGCCTCAGGATGTCAGATGTCTTATCCCCTTGAAGCAGGGTCTCTTACTGAACCTGGAGCAAAGCTGGTGACCAGCAAGTCCCAGGCTTTAGCTCCTCCCCACAGCACTGGGGTTACAGGAACCGGACCACTCCTGGCTTTTCACTTGTGCTATGGAGATTTGAACTCACGTCTTCATGTTTGAGTAGCAGGCGCTGTTATCCACTGAGCCATCTCCTCAGCCCTGTTTTTGTTTATTTTTGACACTGTTAGACCGGCTTGGACTGACCTCAAACGAGGCAATCCTGCCTCAGCATCCCAAGAGTTAGAATTACCGGTGTGAGCACTGTGCCCAGCAGAATCTGGACTCCTAAGTCCCATCTCTGCCTGAGGCCCCCATGCGTCCACTCTCCACCCCTCTTGGGCTGCAACAAGCTCTCACTGCCCCTACTCCCATCACTGAGATAGAACTGGAACAGATCTCCTCACTTCGTCTCGTCCTCCCAGGCCATCCGAACCATTAACTCTTGGAGCGACTCATCCATGAGCGCCGAGGAGTTCACAGATACTGTGTTTGCTAAGATCGACGTCAACGGGGATGGTGAGAGGGCACGAGGAGGGGCTCCCCAAGGGAGGGTCAGCAGGTTTGGGGGTCACCCCTTCCCGGGAGAGTAGGACAGAGGGCTCTCTGCTGGTCACCTCCCCCACCCACTTTTGCTTGGGTTACAAAACTAGCTTTGGGGCAATCCCTGCATCTGACTTTGGGCTCTGGATCCCTCTGCCTCCTTTCCACAGGCCGAAGCCCCCAGAGCAGACCCTGTCCCGTCCCCTTGCTAGCATGCACCTCTGAGCCCTGGCCTGCAGAGGTGAACACCCTCCTGTGAATCTCTTTCTCTCCACTCCAGGGGAACTATCGCTAGAGGAATTCATGGAGGGGGTCCAGAAGGACCAAATGCTTTTGGATACCCTGACACGAAGCTTGGATCTGACCCGCATCGTGCGCAGACTCCAGAACCGCGAGCAGGAGGAGGCGGGAGCTGGGGATGCAGCTACAGAGGCCACAGGCTGAGCCACGCCCTGGGGCTCCAATATGTGGAGGGCGGGGGCCAGTGTGGTACCTGGTGTCGTTTTTAGTTTTAATTTTTTTGTTCTTGTGTTATCATGACATAGTAGCTATTGAATTCAAAGGCCCAGATAGCCTCTTTGGGGTGCACGGTGATTGCAGAAGGGCACTAGTGGGACTTGAGAGCCCAGCACAGCCAAAGATGGTCCCTGGCCCCCCTGGGAGACTCAGCTGATGGTGACACTTCTTGCTGGGGGCGCTGTTCTGTCTCTCTCTGTCCTTAGGCTCATCTCTTGCCCCTTGGGTGTTTTTGCCCAACTTGTCTCAGCTCCCCTCCCTCCCCAACCCCATATGTCCCCAGGCCAGCACTTCCAGATCCAAAAGTTCTGAGACAGCATTCCTGGACTCCTTGTATCTGTTGGCAACAGCCTCACAGTAATCACACCCTGTTCTAATCTGGGAGCCTATTTGTGTGGTCTGGATCACTGCACAAGCATTTATTGAACACCTACTGTGTGTTAAAGTTAGATGCACAAAGGAGATTGCAGATTCTCTAGGAATGCCAGCTGGTAGGAGACACACAGACTACTTCATTATAATAAAACATGCTAAGAGATGGGTTGGCAATGTAGCTCACTTGGTAGAGGGCTTATCTAGCATGCACAAGGCTCTGGGTTCGATCCCAGAACCAGGTAAACCTGGCATGTGCCACGTCAGTGATCCCAGCACTAACTAGGGAGGTGGAGGCAAGTGGATCACAAGTTCAAGGTCATCTTTAGCTACATAGCAAGTTTGAGATCAGCTGTAAATAAATGAAACACATCTTGAATAGGAGTATTCAGGAGTGGGGTTACTTGTTTAACATGCCCAGCACATGAGGGGTGGGGCGGGCAAAAGAAGCTCTTTCTTTTGGGCTTTGGATCTTCAGATGACTGGAGGGAACTTGAAATAAACAAAAGTTCAAGAGTACAAGAGAGAAAACAAGAGGCAAGGGGACCAGGTCAGAGTGGGACCTTCTGAGGCCAGGGATGATAAGTGGATATATTTTGCTGCTTCCTGTCTGCCCATCACTTGGACTACCTCAAACAGAGATATGGCCTGAACAGGAAGCACAGAGAGAAGGTGGCATTCAGAGCTATGGTGGCCTGGACATCAAATGGAGTGGCCATTTCTGCCCCTTCTCTTGGCATCTGTACAAGAGCAGAACAGCCCCTGGCCTTGTCCACCTTCTCTGTGGTTTGGAGCAGATCTATTTTCTCACCTGAGATGGGATACTATTAATATTTCTTTCAAGATTTATTTTTCACTGTGTGTGTGTGTGTGTGTGTGTGTGTGTGTGTGTGTTTTTTCTCCTGAGAGGTGGTATTATATATATGTCTTTCACAATATATTTTTTTCTGTGTGTGTGTGTGTGTGTGTGTGTGTGTGTGTGTGGTATATGTGGGTGCTCATGAAGCCAGAAGAGGGTATTGGATCCCCTGGAGCTAGATTACAGGCAGTTGTGAGGTTTTGGACATGGGTGCTGGGAAGTGAACTCAGGTCCTCTGTAAGAGCAGTAGGTGTTCTTAACCACTGAGCCATTTCTCCAGCTCCACTATTAATACTTGTCATCAATCATTTTCACCTAAATTATTTCCAAAGAAAAATTTACAGAAACATCTTATAAAATATTCCTATGAAATTTCAAGTTCAAAACAAACAAACTTCAAGTTCAAGCTGAGCATGCTGGTGTATGCCTGTGATCTCAGCACTCAAAAAATGGAAGCAGGATTGCTGGGAGTTTCAGGCCAAGCTGGGCTGCAGGGTGAAATGGTTTCAACTACCCCACAAAAGGAAAACAAGCAAATAAACAAAAATCCCAGTGAAACAAAAACAAAACAACAGAAAACCTGTGCGTGATGGCTCACACTTGTAATTTTAGCACTCTGGAAGCTGAGGCAGGAATATTGCCCAAAGTCGGAGATCAATCTGGGCTCCAGAGTAAGCTCTAGACCAGCCTGAGCTATATAGTGTGAGACCTTGTTAAACAAACAAACAAACAAACAAACAAACAAACAAACCCCCTCAATTTCAATACGTTAGTTTATTTTTTATACATCAACATAATAACGTATCTATTCGAGGTAAAGTCAAATATTCTTTCAGGTCCCACAGGAAAATCACTTTGTAGGTATAACACTGTTCCTACTTCCTGTCCTTAGAGGTGCCTTCTCAGGCTCCATGGGTGGAAGCAGGCTGAGACACAAGCCCCTTTAACCAGAGGAATCCCCTTGCAATCTAGTTCTATGTTGGGGTTGTACAAAAGAGTTTGTACAACTAAGTAAGACTTCTACACAATAGTCTGGAAACTGTCCAGTCAATTTTCAGAATATTAGGGAAGAGAAGCAGCCATCCGGGAGGTGAGGGTTGCACAGCAGTTGGAGGCAAAGTCTGGCCCAGAACCCAGATCCACAGGTACCCAGTTCTCCTCAGAGATGAAAAGACTTCTCCATCCTTTGAGGAGATATGCAGGTTTATGATCAGGAATGATGGAAAGCTTGTGCTGGTGGTGGAGGTGGAGGAGATGGGATGGGGTGGGCCAGTTGGCCACAGGGAATTGGGGAGTAGCACCCAGTAAAGCTGAAGCAGCCCCTTTAAGCACAGCAGCCCCTCAACGGTGGGAAGATCACAGCCCCCTCTTCTTTGCTGGAGTATGCTCCTGTCCACACCCCTGGTGAGGATAACACAGGGAGGAGGTGGGGCAGGTCCCCCCATGACACAGCTCAGGATCCTGGGGGTTGTGTCATTAGGACCCCCTCCCCATCCCTACTTCCTCTTTGGACTGCATTCTGTCAGTCTTTGCTTCCCACTATAAATTCTCCTTGATGATGATGTCAGAACCCTCTTCCCCTACCCGCAGCTGTCCCTATTTCCAATGAGAACACCCAGAGACTAGAGTGAGCCCCAGACCCTCTCAGCCAACGTTTAGTTTTCCCAAGAGCAGCTGAGAGGCAGAGAAAAGGACATTCCTTCAAATGCCAGTAAATCCTGCAGAATGGATGGAGCCCCATGGGTCTCTTCAGACCTAGTGGCCCTGAATGGTCCCCTTACTGTCCTTCAGAATGTCAGGAAGTCCACACCATGGCAAGAATGGGCCTGAGCAGAGTGGGTCAGAGGCCTCCAGAAACTCTGAAAACCTGGGGGAGCCTGGAGTCTTGGAGGGGGCGAGGGACTCCTGCAGGACTCTTGGACCCTCAGAACATGGCGCTTCTCCTCCTCTGCTGAGTGATCCAGACGCCAGGGTTGACATCCACCTGCAGCATCTTCATCACCCACTTGTCACAGCGGGCACCTTCAGTGAACTCAGTCAGAGACAGCTGGCCTGAGCAAGGGTGGGAGTGATGATCACAAGGGAGAGGGAAGCCTGAGACTGGGCACAAGGGGAGGATGTCTTCTCCTAGGCTGAGTCCCCATCTCTCCTACAAGCCAGCCTGCAGCCTTGAACCCTAAACCTGCAGCTCATCAATTCTGAGTACTCAGGAATCTTCAGCAGCCTGTAAGGGGCCTGTGTATATGTGTGTGTGTGTGTGTGTGTGTCCATGCATGTGGAGGCCAGAGGACAACGTCAGGTGTCATTTCTCAGGTGCCATCTACCTTAAAAAAAAATCATGGCTTATAAAAAAATCTATTAAGAGCCAGGCATGGTGGTGCACACCTTTAATCCCAGCACTCGGGAGGCAGAGGCAGGTGGATCTCTGTGAGTTTGAGGCCAGCCTGGTCTACATAGTGAGTTCCAGGACAGCTGGGGCTACAGGGAGACCCTGTCTCAAAAAGACCAGAAAAAAAAGATCTATTAAATTTAAAAAAAATTAATATATTTGTATTTTATGTACATGCATGTTTTGCCTGCATGTATGTGGGTGCAGTGTCTGAGGAGGTCAGAAGAGGGTTTTGAATACCCTGGAACCAGAGGTAAAGATGGTTGTGAGCTGCCATGACCCACACCACCAGTACCTGCTGGAAACGGAACCTGTGTCCTCTACAGGAATAGCAAGTGCTCTTAAATGCTGAACCAGTTCTCCAGCCCCTTTACAATTTTTTTTATTTGTGGGTGGGGGTGGTGAGAGGGGCCTGTGCATGCATGTGTGAGCATAGGTGCCCAGGAAGTTCAGAAGGGAGACTCTGATCCCCTGGATCTGGAATTACAGGTAATTGTGAGCCTTCAGACATAAGTCCTCTGCAAGAGCAGTGTGCCCTCTTAACCACACTGAGCTATCTCTGCAGCCCCTCCTATTTTATTTTATTTCATTTTAATTTATTTTGTGCAGATGGGTGGGGCATGCTTATCCTCTAGCACTCCTGTGGAGATCAGAGGACAACTTGTAGGAATCAGTTTTCTCCTTCTAACATGTGGGGGTTCTGGGGATCAAACTGAAGTCATCATGCTTGGTGGTGACTTTACCCATCTCATCAGATCCTTTAAAATTTTTTTTAATAAAAAAGATTTATTTATTTTTAATTTCTGTGCATGAATGCTTTGCCTACATGTTTATATGTGCCCCACATGCATGCAGTGCTCATAGAAGCCAGAAGAGGGTGTCAGATCCCCTGGAAATGGAGTTACAGGAGGTTATGAGCTCCTGGTTGCTGGGAGCCTAACCCAGGTCCTCTGCGAGAGCAGCCAAGGCTTTTAACCACCAAGCCGTCTCTCCGGCAGCCTCTGTCCCTTTTAATCTTTTCAAAAATATTTTTATTTACATGCCTGGCATTTATCAGGCACACTCAGAGGAGCTGTAGTCCTCTGCAAACGTCTTGCGCTCCTGTGTTTGTGGAGCCCTTCCATATTCCATGTAATCCCCTCCCAGCTGACTGATAAGAGTGTCAATGGCAGGAAAGTGTGTGTGTGGGGGGGTGGAGCTTGCCCACTGGCTCACTGCAAGACAGCATGGTGTGCTTCTTACCATCTCCGTTCTCATCCACCAGAGGAAGATCCTGTCCACAACCTCCTCAGGTGTGAGCAGCTGGCCAGGCTACTCCATTTCCATCTCTACTTGGCAGGCTTTCTTCAGCTTGTAAATTGCCTGCCAGAGAGAAAGAACTTGTCTGTTCTGACAGACCCTGCGAAGCCCACCTCCACCCCAGGGTCTCATGTCCCTCAGTGCCACCCAGCACTGGTTCCCAGGCTGAGCATCTTAGCACCACATAACCTATATTAAGACCAACCTTGATCTAACCTTAGCAATGGTGCTAAGGCTACCATTGGCCTAATTCTGTCTGGAGACTTCCAAGATACACCTGCCCCTCCCCAATACTACTTTCCATTTCCACTATGAGCCAGAGAGTCACCAGTGGGGGATGTTAGAGTCACTATGACAGTCCACCCACATTCCACTAAAGAAAAAAGGAGATGCAGAGAAAAAGGAATTTAGTGTGTCTGTGTGACCAGTAGACAGGACAGTCAATGGAGATGTAGGTATCTGGTGTGGAGGGAAAAACCAGGCCTCTCCTATGCTGTTTCCTCTGTGTTTGTAACGCTGGCCTCCCTGTCTGGGTGCCTGCTAAGGACAGAGGCCATGTTTTCTTGATCTCTCTGCCTCATTGCCCAGAGCCAGGCATCACTCTGTAGGCCTTATTAAAAGGCAGCCTGAGGGAACTTCCCTCAAATACTACTCTAGTGCTTTCTGGGTATATGAATTTGAATAGAGCACAGAATCTCTACTAGACAGTTGCCTACTCTGTAAGCAAGGCCAACAGTGCCCATCTCCCAGAGTAATTCTAGGGCTCAGTTAGTTCATCCAGGAGACACAAGGAACCATGGTCCACTTGATCTTTCTTTTCCTCCTTAATTTCTCCTTCGGTAGTCTGTCCGTTGTGTTAATCTTTTAAAATACCTTTAGGGGTTGGAGAGCTGGCTCAGCAGTTAAAAACACTTGCTGTTCTTCCAGAGGACTTGAGTTCCATTCCCACCATCCACATCAGGTGGCTCACAACCACCTATGACTCTAGCTTCAAGGACTGCTATGCTCTCTCCTGGCCTTCATGGACACACACAAATTATAGTAAAATGAGGAACTTGGGAGGCTGGGTAGATGGCTCTGTCATTAAAGTACTTGCCACCGACCTGAGATCAGATCCTCAGGACTTATATAAAAATCTGGGCATGGCAGCAAATCCTTGTAACCCCAACCTCGTGGAGACAGGTGGATCCCTGGAGCTCTTTGGTCAGGCAGCCTAGCTGAATTGATAATCTTTAGGTTCAGTGAGAGACTCTGTCTCAAAAAATAAAGGAGGAAGAATTAAAAGGAAAACACCTGAAACTAACCTCGGACTTTCACACAAATGCGCACACATCACAAACATACACAACACTCACATCCACACCCTCCCCCACATGTCTCTGCCTCCAGAGTGCTGGGATTAAAGGCATGGGCCACCACACCCGGCTTGTTAGTAGTTTTTTAATATTCCCAGCACCCACATGGTGGCTAACAACCATCTGTAACTTCAGTTCCCGGGGATTTGACCATCCTCTTCTGGCCTCCATAGGCATTGCACACATGGGTGCACTTATATACATATAGGCAAAGCACTCATATAGTAAAATTAAAAAAATAAATACAAGCACAGAAAATAAATTGTATGAAGTTCTCAGAAATTCATAAAAATATATAGATAAACCCAACAAAACTCCAGGTATTTGAGGTAAGAACACTTGACCAGGAATTAAGATGCCAGAGTGTTTGATCTTGGGCAAATTGACTCATGTTCTTGGGTGTGTTTGTTTTAAAACAGGGTCTGTGTAAGTAGTCTGTGATTGCTTCCAGCTACAGATTGGCCACCCAGATGCTGGGATTCCACATATGCATCACACCACATCCAGCTTTTTTTTTTGTCCTTTTGAAACAGGGTCTCCCTGTAGCCCCAGCTGTCCTGGAACTCACTATGTAGACCAGGCTGGCTTTAACCACAGTTTTCTCATCATTTAATTTAAGATGACAAAAAGTTATCCGTCCCCATGAGGCTTCTCTAACCTTGAGAAGACTGAGGGGGGTGGGGGTCTGAAATATCTGAGGCTGGTTCTGTGCTCTGTGCGTGTTTTACAGGGTTAATAGGGTGGTTCTGTGGTATTGAAACTGCTGACCTTACCCTCTGTTCTGATTGGCTCCAGGAAGCGGCCTCTTGAAGTTTTCTCCAGATTACTCATCTAGGGCCAGCCCATTCCCTTAATTCAGGGAGCTGAAATAGGCATTTGATGTAAATGAATTGTTTATACTACAGTATTGCAGGGGTCCTGGACCAGGTAATCTTGAATAATCAAGGTTTTGTTTCTTTTTCTTCCATTGAATTTAATGTTGTTTTGAAGCAGAGCTTGAGATTATTAAAAAACTTTAATACACATTTTAAACATTAGGGTTAGAAGAAGGAAAGATGCTGGGTGTGGTGGTGCACACCCTTAATCCCAGCACTCGGGAGGCAGAGGCAGGCCGATCGATCTCTGTGAGTTCAAGGCCAGCCTGGTCTACATAGTGAGTTCCAGAACAGCTAGGGATATAGGGAGACCCTGTCTCAAAAAGACCAATAAATAAATAAATAAATAAATAATTGTGCCGGGAAGATGGCTGGGCCTGTGAAGTGCTTCCTGTGCAAGCATGAGGATCTGAGCTCTATTCTCAGCATGGACATGAAAAGCTGAGCCTAGGGACTGGAGCGTGCTCAGTGGTTAAGAGCACTTGCTTGCTTTTGTAGAGGATCTGGGTTTGGTTCCCAGCACCTGTAAGGAGACTCATAGTTAGGGGGCTCTGATGTCCTCTTCTGGCTTCTGAGGGCACTGCACACACATGGTGTACTTGCATACATGCAGGCAAAAACACTTATAGACATAAATTAAAAGTAAAGAAATCTTTTTTAAAAAAATGCTGGGTGGTACAACATGGGTGCACTCACATACATGCAGGCAATACACTTATACACATAAAAAATATAAAATATTTTTTAAAAAGTAAAAAAAAAAAAAAGCTGGGTGTAGGCGTGTTCTTGTAACCCTAGTTCTGGGATCAACAGGAGGATCCTTGGGCTCACTGGAAAGCCAGCTTTACCTAGTTGAGGAGCTCAGGCCAAGGTGAGATGGAATCTCATCAAAGAAGATGGATGCCTCCTGAGGAATGACACCTGAGATGGATCTCTGGCCTTCACGTGCATACAAGTGTACAGGCTCTGGCACACACACATATAAACATACGTGTGCAAGCATACATACACACTAATTTTTAAATTACACAGTTTAGTATCTTCTTCAGCTTGTTCGTGCCTTTGGAAGGCTTAAAGAAACCTTATGGTCTGTAGAGTTCATGGAATCCTCCATAGTTTAAAGAGTTGAAGGGCTTTTGCAATCATCCATCTACCCTCCCAGTCAGTGTGAAGCCCCCCCTAGCATCTGCACTAGGAAAGACCCGACCAGCCTCCATCTGAAGGACTGTAGCTGAGGAGCTCTTGATCTAAGATAGCTTTGGAATATTGTAGCTCCTTGTGTTTTGAGCAACAGGGGCTCTACATGTCCTTGGGATGCAGAGCCTTAGCCCAAAATGCACAGGGAAAACCCAGCTATGTGCCAGTGACCTTTAGCTCTCAGCCAGAGGACGCAGGGAGCCTCAGACAATTGCAGGGAAGAAAAGAAAGAGTTGGGGATGGGGAGGGAGGAAAAGCAGGGAAGAAGAGTGAGAATCTGGGGGTTCACTCTGCAGGGCTTGAGGATGGGAGGGGTACCATGTAGATCGACAGATCCTCCCATTCAGGATTACTTACCCCATTCTTGTCGAAGGCTCGGAACATGCCCTCCACATACTGAGTGGCCTCCTTATTGCCAGTGACCTTGAAGAAGCGCTTAAACTCGTGCATGAAGAGCGTTCCACTGGGGCACTCCACCACGAACTTCTTGTACCACTCCTGCACCTCCGCCACGTCCATCTCCCCTGATGCCTCCTTCTCCTCCCAGCTGAATTGCTGTCCCATCTTGGTTTCAAGGGATGTCAGGGAACAAGGGTCGGTGTCTCCCCCAAGGCCTCTGCTGACCTTAGCCTAGGGCCCTGTTCCTCCCTCTACTTCGTTTAAACAGCCTCTTCATTGTCTTCAGGGCTCTGAAGTTGATGAGTAGTGGAGGGATCTACAGGAGGGGGGCGAGGCAGGCCAGCTAAGCTGTCTAAGACCATTAGAAGATTTCCCCTGAAGGTCTGACCTTGGGGAAAGCTAAGTCGTGTCGTCCTCC